CAAAGTGTCGTTTGGGCCTACCCGCTGGGCTGAGTGCAAAATCAGGCCTTTAGGGCCTGTGACCCTCAAAGGTCGGGCCTTTAGGCCCTGGTGTGTCCCTCCGGCCCTAAGTCGGGTCCGGTAGGACCCGTGTGACTCGAAGATGTTACAGCAAGTGTGCCACTTTGGCGGCAGACGGGTGTGTGGGCACTTGGTGCTGAACCACACAAACGTGGCCAACCTTGCATTTTCTATTACATTGCCTATCTATACTTTTTCGTTATGGATGGCTTGTGATGATCTCTGAACGGAATGAGAGAGAGAATCTGGGGTCCTTTAAAACAACACACATCTGCTGACGAATTGGATGCAGCACCTACAGCAGCTACTGCAGTAGTGTAACTGATGCAGCGGATGTAGCTGCTGCGTTTGCTGCACACAAACACATAATCACACACACAGGCACACACACACACACACACACACACACACACATTTGGCCGCCCACTATGCCTCTCCGGGGAGGGGAAGGCCAAAATGGCCCCGGTACAGTCCAAACGAGGACGCGTTCGGCAGCTTGGCCGAACATGTTTGGTTCCCGCTCAGCCGAACGTCCGAACATGTTCGGTGGGGCGCCGAACATGTTCGGCGTGCTACACATGATAATAACAAAGGCCTGGATGGCCGTCCTGTCCAGATTTCACAGGTAATTGAATTGGTTGGGCTCATGGTAACCGCCCGGACGTCCGGACTGGGTTCCAGACAGTCCGGCGTCCGGTGTCCGGTCCCCATGTCCGGATGGAGGCCCCTGGGGCAAAAAAAAATAAAAAAATAGGGGCGGCCCAGGACGTTTGTTGGGTCCTAGCCGCCCCTCGAAAAATAACGGAGTGATTTTTAAGTGTCCTTTCACCCCACCGGACATGGCCTAGAGGTCCAGACACAAGACACTGCAGGTTTTTGACGTGGCGGGTTTCACACAGGCCCGAGCAATTTCAAAGCGGCCGTTTCGACGTGGCGCCTGCCGCTGCTGCCTGTTGGGGGGGGGAGAGAGAGAGAGAGAGAGAGAGAGAGAGAGAGAGAGAGAGCACTGACAGTGCTGCCAGTCTGAAGACTCTTGTTATGAACTTAGTTGTCTGACGATTTTTACCGCCACTCACTCACAGACAATCTCATACACGCCCATACATGCATAAGAGAAGGGGGAGAGGAGGCAGAGTCCACACTGCACACACATCAGAGTTGGCAGCGGAATATAGCTATGCACAGATGGGGAGAAGACACACAGTGTTTGTGACTCTCTGACAAATTCCCAACAACCAATCGCAAGAGGAACCTGCGAGGATAACAATTGAAATGACACTGATGTTGAGCCAACTCAAACAATTATCGTAACAGAGTTTGTTCCAGTATCTCGCCACTCTCAGAACTCACACCCCCCTCTCTATCCTACACCCAGTTAGTAGCGCCACATCAGAATGGCCTCCCAGAGGCCAGTGCCAACCACCCTGATGAAGAACAGGTATTGCGATGAAGTCTTCAGTGCGGATGGACAACTCTGACGAAGGAACAGGCAGCTATGGCTGCCACCACCCTCGAGTACACAGTGTAGAGCCTCAATGTAGCCCAGCCAGACGCAGATACCCCCAGGGGTAGATGCGCTGAGGATGCCCCAGCGATGGCAGACTCAGACTGGGCCGGCTATGGCTGTTGTCAACGGCGAGGTCTCAGGATGCTGCCTGCAGACAGTCACTGCCACCAACTTGCTTGGCTTCCCCAACCTGCTTCGTGAGAAATGAACTGCCAAAAGTCCTGAACCGATAGGCCTAACCTATCTATAGACTACACTAGACCTAGACCGGACTGACTGACCGACCGGTACCGTTTTTGTTTCGGCCTTTCGGCCTCTACCGGACCCGGCTATAGGCTATAGGACCATCTAGCAGCATAGGCCACTTAGGGCATGTATGTCCTAGGGGTAGCCCGGACCTGCTATACGCAGTTAGGGTAGCGGTAGGAATTCGAGTTAGTACTGGGCCGTTATTTTCCCAGATTTGCAGATATGTCTCTCACGAATTTCCTTACAGGTAGGTCTCTCGGTTAGCCCTCAACCAAACAAAATTACGAATCTAACCCTACTGGTTAGTGTACAGCCTCGCAGTCAATCTCGGCAGTGAGAATCAGCAAGTCATTGCAGGGTTACCCTCCCCGGGAGCGAGGACCTCCGAGCTAGGGATGTAGGCGAGGTGAACGGCGAGGAAGGTTGCCCTTCTGAGCCACTTCATATCCCAATACAATAGACTTGGTTGTCTTGAGAAGTTCCCTTCTGTAGAACCAGCTGCTCTCAGAAGGACGCTGGAACGCGAACCTCACAAGATACTGTCGATCGGGGCCTGTGCCCCACTCATCCTCAATCCGGTCGATTTCATATCCCTTGCCAGGGATTGGTGGACCAAACTGAGGAGGCCGGTCTGGGAATGCATCAGCTGGAGTGAACGGCAGCAGCTTGGATGCATGAAAGACCAGGTAGGTGCGTAGATGCAGCGGGACGTCGATAACATACGACCCAGGTAGCGTGGCAACAGCTTGGGGGAGATATCCTCCTCCCTCGACAACTCAGAACTGGCCACCCAGACATGATCACCAGTGCGGATGGGGGAAGGTCGCCTGTGGTGATTAGCTTGTTCAATCATAGCCTTTTGGGCTTTGAGAAAGTTCGCGCGGGCTCTTTCCACATCTAGACGATAACGTCTGGTGAACTCTGTTGTGCCTGGTGTCAGATCAGGCTTAGCCTTATCGATGATATCATCGAGAGACTGTCGTGGTTCACGTCCCCAGTGTAACCGGTAGGGACTGAACCCTGTCGAGGAGTGGACAAACATGTTACACATGAGTTGTGCCTTCGCCAAGTGAAGATCCCAGTCCTGTTGATCTGGAGAGATGACAGGACGCTACATAACACTTGGTTCATCACTTCCGCCAAACCGTTGGCTTCAGGATGGCGGCCAAAAGTCATGTCCAGTCGTTAGCGCAGATAGTCCTTACAGTAGGACTGCCACTCATCGCTGCAAAATCTGGGGTCTCGATCACTGACGATAGAAGTGGGTCGTCCATGGTGTGTGACCCACCTCTCAGAGAAGGCTGCTCTCACAACAGGTACCCTAGCTACCTCTGGCAAGGGGATGAACTCTACGTATTTGGAGAACCTGTCCACGCAGACCATAATCTGACGCATGCCACGAGGGGTGGTCTTGCCTAAATCTATGAAGTCTATCGACACAGATTCAGCAGGGCCATCAGGTATGGGTAAGGGTTTGAGCAGTCCCAAAGGAGCCCTCACTGTCTGAGCAGCAATCTTGGCTGCTTCAGGAGCGAGACCATCTCCAGAGATTACATGACCCAGGTAGATAACAGAGGGAACTCCAAAGGAGGACTTCTCCCTGTTGATCTTGTACTGGTTGTCACGTAACGACTGAAGGACCAGAGCCAAGTGCTCCGCATGTTCCCTGGCAGTTTTGCTGAATACCAAGATATCATCCAGGTAGACAACCATAAACTTGTCCACGTAAGGCCTGAAGATGCGGTGCATCTCTGTCTGGAAGGTGCCTCGGGCGTTGCAAAGTCCAAATGGCATGACCAGGAACTCATACGTCCCATACCTGGCCTTGAAGGTTGTCTTATAGACATCCTCCTCTACCATCTCAATCTGGTGGTAGCCAGATTTGAGGTCGACTTTGCTGAACACTGTGCAGCCCTGCACCATGTCCAGGAGGTCATCGATCCTAGGAAGTGGCTCAGTACTCTTCCTAGTGATCTTATTGAGACCCCTGTAGTCAATGCACATTCTGAACTCGCCATTCCCTTTGGGCACAAAGAGAACAGGTGCACCGAATTCAGAAGTGTTGGGTCTGATCCAGCCCTTGTTGGTCAGGGTCTCAGGCTGCTTTCTGAGCTCCTCAAGCTCAGCAGGGGACATCCTGTAGATGCGGCCCTTGGGAGGGACCGCTCCAGGCAGCAGCTCGATGTGATGCTTGGTTGGCCGGTTGGGTAACCCAAAGGGCTCCTGCATCAGATCAGCATACTGATCACAATAAACAGACGCTCGTGGTGGTACTAGCGTGAGAGAGCATGAAACTCCCTCGCTCTCAGGCAGTAGCAAGGTGTCTTAGGGTGGTGATCAACAACCATCATGCACAACTGATACACACCCTGGCTATTAGGTAACTCAACCTTTGGGATCTGCCAGTCGATCCTTGAGTTGACTGCCTTCAGCCACTACATAGAGAATACCAAGTCAAAGGGCAGCTCAGGGAAGATGTAGAAGTTCAGACTGTGTCTGACTTCTCCAGCACTATCGAAGGTCAAGGGATACCCTTGACCTTCTCTCTGATGCTGAGCACTGTAGAGTCACCAATCCTCACCAACAGCGGTTGCTGCAGCTGCTGAACTTTCATGCCCAGATGCAGCTTTTTAACTGCACTGGGAGACATGAAGTTCCTGGTGGCTCCACAGTCTAACAACCCAGTGATCCTGGTGCGGTTGATCAGGGGCCGAAGCATGATGAGATCAGACTTGCACTTCTTCTGTTCCTTCAGATGGAGGAAGAAGGCTGCAAGTGACTGGAGCTCATCCTGCCCGGGTCCTGATCCGGGTCAGGATCCTCATAGCAGAAGGATGCTGCCCGCGCAGTCCCCAAACAATCTGACTTTGTCTCAACTGAAACAACTGCAGATTCACCTACCTGAGTAGATGAAGGTGCAGCACTGGGGGGAACTGCAGTCCCCAGGGTCTGTTTCAGTTTTTTGACCGACTTGGGCCTGGCATGTAAGGGCAGTCCTTGAGAAAGTGTTGTCCCTCACACCTCAGGCAGACCCCTCGCTCCTTCCTTCTTCTCCAGACTCCCTCCTGGATCTTGAGGTCATGCCAGGGGAGTGTGGAGGGATTGAGAGGGTCAGCTGGCATCCGGACGTCTTTCGGCAGGTTAGGGCGCTGGGAAGAGGAAGGCCGACGTCCCTTATCCTTCCCCTTGGCTCTGGCTGAGGCTGTGGTGGGGGAGAATCTTTTCTGCTGCTGCAGAACTCCCAAAACAGCCTGAGTCAGGGCTGTTGCAATATCCGGATCAAGAGTAGATCCAGTCCCAGTTGAAGGTGCATGAGCCTGGGAATCTGAATTTGAACCTGATGCAGATCCCTCATGTGTAAAGGCTGCCTTTCCCTTTCTGCCACCTCTAGGGAAGGCACCTCTCCTCTTGTCAGAGGATGGGGCTTGAACATGAAGCTTTGCCTCCATGTCCAGGGCTGCACGGCCACAGGACCTCCAGTCCTTGTGCCCAGCGTTGTATAGTGCAACAACAAACTTCTCAGGCGCTGCCCTGCAGAAGTTGGTCAGCAGGTCATCTGTGGACATGACCAAACCAGGGGTGGAGGTAAGTTGCTCGAACTCAGCAAACAAGGTCTGCAGAATGCCCCAGGCGAGCAATCCTGTCAGCAGCCTTGCGGGCCCGTTCCTTGTCTGCAAATCGGTCCTCCAGGGCCTGCAGAAATTTGTCCACCCCAAGCCCAAAAGCCCAGTCCTCCATGGACTGCTGCAGACTGCTGGAGGTAGAAGTGGCCCACTTTAATACAGGTCCCTCCAGCAGTCCCAGCACAGTCGCCACCTTGGTCTGTTTTGCACAGACAAAGCCCCTCAAGACGGCTTTGGTCCCAGCAGCCCAGTCCCCAACATCGGTCTTGGGGTCATCACCCCTGAACTTGTTGGGAGCAGGGATCTTGGGACCTCTTTGGTCTCCTGCAGTCACAGCAGCATAGGTGGCTTTGCCGGGGGTCTTTTGGGAATGAGATGGTGAACGGGAAGAATGTGCTGAACCAGGGGGTGTTGAAGGAGGGGTAGAAGGAGGAGAAGGTTTGGGTTTGATCAGAGGGAGCTGAGGAGCAATCAGCTTTGCGGCTGACAGCTGAGCATTCAAGTTCTGAATCGCATCCAGAATCTTGGACTGCTAAGATGCCAGGTAGTTAACCCGACACTCCAGACGAACAAAACGATCATCCCAGTTCGTAAAATAGGAACTGGTGATCTTGTGCTCCAGGATGATAGGTGTTTAATCACCTGTGCACAACGGTCATCTGTGAGCACCTTGTCTAGCTGCTGGAACACATAGTCCCTTCTGGAATTATCTGTTGCAGCCTCTAGCTCAGCTGCCTCCTGACGTTCTAGTTCTGCAAGACGGTCCTGTTGCCGCCGCAGCTGTTCTTGCAGCTCCTTTTCCTGCTGAGTACCTGTCAGAGGTGGAGAAGGAGTCGAGGTGGAGGGTTGTTGACCTTCCACCTTCATCACAACTTCCACCTGTGGCTGCTGCTGAGCCCCATGGTCATACATTTTCCTATTTCAAATCAAATCCAAAAATAAACAGCAACCTGAGTATGCAGCGAAATTCAGATTCCTTCAGACACCCTGGAATCGCTGCAAAACTCGAACATTGGAACAGGTGGGTGTATAGGCAATCAACGATTTGGGTTGGAAGAGTGTCTCTGGGGTCAGGTGTCCGATAGACTGTAAGTCCAGCAAAATCAGGCACACGATTTCCTTTTACTGACCCTGCACCACACTGGAGTTAGTAGAGTCACTCCACTACTCTTCCAAAGACCCACTAGATTTCCAGTGCCCACTAGAAAACAAGGGTAGTCAGTGGGAATGATCGAACATGGTTAGTACTGCCAAGAGAGATCAACCACAACAAGCGATGCAGACAGTGAGGTTTTGATTTTAGTAGGCGCTTTTCAAGTTACCCTATCCCCTGACTCAGACTCCAATTTAGACTCTAATGACTCTGGCGGCCATACCCTAGGGTATGGCGAAGTACAATATTCACTGTATCCAGTGAAATATTGTAAATCCAACTCTACGATTCTGCAGTATTACCTATTTTTGGATTGCGATTCACTGGGGACTGGCATAATGGAATTTTGACGGACAAAATTGAAGTTATGATTGACCCTAGTTAGCCCAGGCTATAAATAGACTCAACGCAAAACTATAATTCACAGTATTACTACCTTTCCAGTACAGAATTCACAATTTGAGCATCCCAGTATAATCACAATGCAGTAAAGCAGTCACTGAACAATTTTGGATTGAAAAGAGTCAACAGAGGGTTAGAAATGAGCAGAGAGAGGTAGGGAAGAGATGGCTATGGCTGTCATGCAGTCTGCGATTTTTACATCCAGTCACTGACAGACGGATAGACCATTATAAACTAGTACTACCTGGATCGCAATACAGGTAGGTGCATGGAACGGACTCACTTTCAGAGAATCTTGCAGGTGATGATGAAGATCTGGCTATGTCAGATGATACCCTTATCTCGCCAATTTCTTCCAGATATTCCTCCTGACACTTCCACGCACAGAACGGCTTCAAACTCGTTGATCCTGTAGTGCTGCACTCCCTCACTCCAGATAGCCTGTATCTGGTGCTGTGGCGCCTAGTATGCCAACGACAAACTATCTCGCCACAGTACATGGTAGCCGCTGATGCTAAAAATAGCCCGAGATGGGGTTATTTCTTTTGGAGATTGATATAGTGTGTCAATCTCCCTCAGCGCTACCCAGGGATGATGCCGCTCAGGGTTCCCTGATGTCCTCGGGGGTACTTCGCCACTCTGGGTTAATTCGAAATATTACCCTCAGGGTTGGCTATGGCGAATTAGCCCTGTACTCGCCACTTCCTGACAAGCGCCCTGACAGGCTCAGTGCACTTGCTCAGTGCACCACTGAACACTTGAATCCACCACTGAAAGTCTTCTTCCCTGCTCAGTACTGGGGAGGATGAATCGCCATGAGAATCTCGCCAGTAGATCGCCAGATGAAGAAGATGCCTTGGTCGCTCAACCCTCAGTGTTCCAATTCCCATCCCAGCTCCGATACCAACTGTTATGAACTTGGTTGTCTGACAATTTTTACCGCCACTCACTCACAGACAATCTCATACACGCCCATACATCCATAAGAGAAGGGGGAGAGGAGGCAGAGTCCACACTGCACACACATCAGAGTTGGCAGCGGAATATAGCTATGCACAGATGGGGAGAAGACACACTGTGTTTCTCACTCTCTAACAAACTCCCAACAACCAATCACAAGAGGAACCTGTGAGGATAACAATCGAAATGACACTGATGTTGAGCCAACTCAAACAATTATCGTAACAGAGTTTGTTCCAGTATCTCGCCACTCTCAAAACTCACACCCCCCTCTCTATCCTACATCCAGTTAGTAGCGCCACATCAGAATGGCCTCCCAGAGGCCAGCGCCAACCACCCTGATGAAGAACAAGTCTTGCGATGAAGTCTTCAGTGTCGATGGACAACTCTGACGAAGGAACAGGTAGCTATGGCTGCCACCACCCTCGAGTACACAGTGTAGAGCCTCAATGTAGCCCGGCCAGACGCAAATACCCCCAGGGGTAGATGCGCTGAGGATGCCCCAGCGATGGCAGACTCAGACTGGGCCGGCTATGGCTGCTGTCAACGGCGAGGTCTCAGGATGCCGCCTGCAGACAGTCACCGCCACCAACTTGCTTGCCTTCCCCAACCTGCTTCGCGAGAAATGAACCACCAAAAGTCCTGAACCGATGGGCCTAACCTATCTATAGACTACACTAGACCTAGACCGGACTGACTGACCGACCGGTACCGTTTCTGTTTCGGCCTTTCGGCCTCTACCGGACCCAGCTATAGGCTATAGGACCGTCTAGCAGTATAGGCCGCTTAGGGCCTGTCTGTCCTAGGGGTAGCCCGGGCCTGCTATAGGCAGTTAGGGTAGCTGTAGGAATTCGGGTTAGTACTGGGCCCATATTTTCCAAGATTTGCAGATACGTCCCTCACGAATTTCCTTACAGGTAGGTCTCTCGGTTAGCCCTCAGCCAAACAAAATTACGACCGGTTAGTGTACAGCCTCGCAGTCAATCTCGGCAGTCAAAATCAGCAAGTCATTGCACTCTGACGTTCTGAATTGAACTGCAAAGTTCGAACTTTTAAGTTATATATGAAGTTATGAACTTAAATCACTAAATCCAAAGTTCAAAGTTCAAAGTTCAAAGTTAATCAAACTTTTTTCAAAAAAAATAAATTTGTTTCTTTAGTCTTGTGCCTGCTTTGCACTGTTTGCAACTCTGCATGTCTGCTAGTTAAATGTGCTGGTTGATTTGCTGCAAGACACGTGCT